TCCCTAACCTGCAGAGGTCTCTTCCTCATCTTTCAGGCCTTCAGAGAACATCACCTCCTCAAAAGCCCCTCTCATATCACTTGCATTATTGTCTTTGTAGCCCTTACTGCCCATAGTGGCCTGACTGGGGCAGAACCTGTCATGGGGCCCCTCCCCTCTCTAGAACCTGAGCTCCTTGAGGGCAAGGAGTGGTCCTGGTTCAGCCATGAGGAAACTGGGGCTCTGAGGAGGGGAAGTGACTTGCTCAAGGTCACACAGGCAGGGGGAGGCAGGACTGGAAAAGCCAGGTAGGTTTGGCTTGGGAACCTCCCCACCTTCCCAACCCCCAGAGCTGCCAACTCTCCACCCCAGCTGCAAAGTGCATGACTCACTCCCGACCTAGAGAGTGTGGGCACTTGACTGTCTTGAGGAGGCCCAAAGCCACGGGCCAGAGAGAGCCTGGCTCGATCAGGAGACACAGGAAATGGAACTGGAGCTTAGGAGCATTTATTCCTATACAAATCATTACAAAATCAAGTCTAGGGGAGCCACTGGCCCCCACCCCCACCCCAATGTGCAATGGCTTGCTTCTGGCCCCTCCCGTTCCACAACCTCCTCCAGGAAGGCCTCCAAACTTCTCTTCCAGGATCCGGAAGAGCAGAGGGCAAACCCAACCCACTAAGGCCCAGCAATAAAGTGCCTGATACAGAGTGAGGGCTGCCCGAACCCAGGCAACGCAGCTCCTGGCCCCCTAGAGCTTTCCCAGACCCAGCTGGAGGGAGAATCTTGGGCTGCTTGAAACCCCAATTTGGCTAGGTCCCCCCTGCCTCCACCCCAAAGGCTCTTCCAACAGGTAGAAAGCCTCACTGCTGGATGGCAGAAAAGGGGGCCTGGCTCTTTAAGAGCCAAGCTAAGGGCAGCTTGGGGGAGGGCGAAGAAACAGCTGGTTTGTCTCATTCTTATCAGAGTCTCCCAGAATGGGAGAATTTGTGCAAAAATACCTTCGTTTCCAGGAGGAGATGGGGAAGAGAACTCTGGGTCCCTAGGGAGTTCAGCCCCCCAACAAAGGAACCCCGGGCCCCCAAAACCCGACACAGGCAAAAGGGTGCCAGAGAAGAGGCAAGGGATTTGTCCAAGGCCACTCAAGGGAGAGCCAAGACCAAGTCGCCAGCCTCCCACCTCTGGAACCCCCCGACAAACCCCACAAGTGCCCCGGCCCAGACTCCAGACAGTGCCCACCCTCCACGCAACCTCTCTTTCTGGCTCTGGGAGGTGAGGGGCAACACAAAGTTCCCAGCAACTTGGGATAGAACCCCACTGTTCCAGCCAACAGGAAGTGATTCGAGGGCCATACTGGGGCTCTGAACCAAGGCCTCATGGGAAAGAACATGTCCTTAGCCTCACATTACTCAGAAATACCCTGCTTGACTACTCTGACCCTGACTGGCCAAGAAATCCCGACACCCCTGATTAACCACATAGAAGCCCAAATCCCTGATTGGCCAAGAGAGATCCTCAAGCCCTGACTGGCTGGAGGATGCACCCTCTTTAACACCCTGATTGGCCAGAAGACACTCTGGCCAACCTTGAATGGCCAGGAGACAGCCTTTGGTCAAGTGGCTGAGCGGAGAGCCACTTCTCCTGTGTCCCTTGTGAGGGCCCCGCCGGCAAGGCGGCCTAGGTCCAGGAGGGATGGGAGAAGGTGATCCCATACAGCTGGGCCCAGGACGAGAAGACTCTCTTCTCGGTGATGAAGCGGTGGTGGTGGCCCTTGCGGCTGTGCTCATTCTGGATGTAGGTGACACACTCGTCCGGCCCCTTGGGCTCATAGTAGTGGTAGGGCATGCGCTGCAGGCGGGACCGCTGGCTGGGGCAGAGCAGATGGGGCCGTGAGGGCAGGGTGGGCACTGGCAGAGCCCTTGCTTTTTCCAGCCCCTGACCTGCTGTAGGACCTCAGTGAGGGAAAACCCCTGTCCCTCCCTGGGCCTCAGTTTCCCCATCTATAAAATAAGCATAAGGTGAACGAGGTTGGTGACCACCAAAATGTTTTTTTTTTAATGCGGTGGACATTTTCCTGTCCCCAAGAGGGTGGCAGAGTAGGGTAAAGGACTATGGGCTCTGGAGCCTGGTCCCCACCCATTACTGTTTGTGGGACCTCAGGCCACTCACAAACGTCTTCCTCAGTTTCTCTCATTCATGAAATAGGGAGGATAACGTACCTATCACTTGGAGTCACTGTGAGGAATGAATGAGATAATAAGCATAGCCAAGCTTGAGACATGGTCAGCACTCAGTAAAGAACAGCTGTCACCTCATGGGATTTTCATATAGTAATAATACTACTTACTATTAATATATAAACTCTGGACTCTCGCTGAGCTTGGGGTAGAGGCCCCCGAGGTAGCTCCAAGGAGCCTAGCTCTCTGCAGAGCAGTTTGAATACCAACAAAGAGCGGCCCTCGAAGGCCCCCCAGCCACGGTTTCCAGGCCCCCAGCTCCATCCCACAGCCAGTGACTGGGCATTGTCCTGGAGGGGCTCACCTGCAGTAGTCGGGGGGGACCATGCCATAGACGTGCACGTGGTCACACAGCTCCACCGCAATCACCATGGTGAACCAGCCTGTGCTCAACCACGAATGGGACTTTTCCCTGGGGGCAGAGAGGGAGCATGATGAAGGGGCATGCAGGCAGGGTGCGGCAGGCAGGGAGGCCCAGTCAATCCCCACAGAGTTTCCAAGAACTCCACCCACCAACTCATCGGGCGGGGTGGGGTGGGGCAACTTCAGTCACCCCTGGTCCAGCCCGATGCCAGTAGGGGGCTGGTCTGAGCAGAGATGAGGGGTGTGGAGAGAGGTCCTTGGCAGGGAAAGAATAGGAATAGGGCATGCTGGGAATAAACTCCTTGGGAGACTGGTCACACTTGGGACCAGGCTGGGAGTGACCATGATCACAGAACATGCTAGAAGCAGCTATGCCCATGCTAGCGGCAAATTCCCAAGGGGAGACAATCCGAGACAGTCATGCTGGGAGTAACAAGTTTATAGCAAAGCATTAAGTAGCTAAGAGCCCAGAGCTGTGCTTCTCACTAAAGCAGCCACGTGTGGCACATAAGGGCACATAGGAGCACTTAATATGTGGTTGAAATGTGCCACCAGTATAAAACACACACTGGATTTCTTAGAGTATAAAAAAAATGTAGAATACATCACTGATAATTTTTGACATTGATTACATGTTGAACTGAAAATATCTTGGATATTTTTGATTGGCGGCAGTTCTTTGAAGTTTTTTAAAAAATAATCATCTCTCGCAAGACTAACAAAAAGAAAAAAATACAAATTACCAAAATCAAGAGTTAAAAAGGATATCATCATAGACCCTCCAAACATAAAAGAAATTACATACCACAAAAAAACTGCATACATGACAACTCAGATGCAATGGGCCAATTCCTTGAAAACCAGAAACTACTAAAACTCACCCAAGATGAAATAGATAATCTGAATATCTTGTAACCATTAAAGAAATTGAATTTGTATTTTAAAATGTTTTGAAAAAGAACTCTTCAGGCCCAGATAGTTTCACTGGCAAATTCTACCAAACATTTAAATAAGAAAGAACACCAATTCTATACAATCTCTTCCAGAAAATGGAAGAGGAATCATTTCCAATTCATTTTCTGAAGCCAGAGTTATCCTGATACCAAAACCAAAGACGGTACAAAATAAACTACAGACCAATATCTCTCATGAACACAGACACAAAAATCTCAACAAAATATTAGCAAATCATATCCAATAATATATAAAAATAATACACCACAACCAAGTGGAGTTTACTCCAGAAATGCAAGGCTAACTCGACATTTAAAAATCAGTCTACAGCCATGCCACCCTGAAAAAGTCCTATCCTGACTGATCTCAGAAGCTAAGCAAGGTCAGGCCTGGTTAGTACTTGGATGGGAGACTACCTAGGAAGATCTATAGGCGTAAAAAAAAAAAAAAAAAAAATCAATCAATACCAGCCACCATATTAACAGTCTTAAGAAAAACCACATGACAATTGATGCAAAAAAAACATTTGATAAAATTCAATATCCAGTAATGACAAAAACTCTTAGCAAACTAGTAAGCAAAGGGAACCTCCTCAGCCTGATATAGGACAGCTACAAAAATACTGTAATTAACATCATATTCAATAATGAAAAACTAAACGCTTTCCCCGAGACTGGGACCAATGCACGGATGTCTACTGTCGCCATTTCAAATACAATTCAACATCGTATTGAAAGTCCTAGTCAGTGCAATAAGGCAAGAAAAAGAAATAAGAGGTATACATGTTGGAAAGGAAGGAATAAAACTGTCCTTATTTGCATGTCCTTACATGATACATGATCAAATGCACTGAAAATCCCAAAGAATCTACAAAAATCTCCCAGAATCAATAAGTAAATTTAGCAGGATTACGGATATAAAATCGACTCACAAAAAATCAATCATATTTCGAAATACTAGCAATGAATAATTGGAAACCAAAAAAAAATTTTGTAAATACCATTTACAGTAGCTCCAAAACTTTAAATATTTAGGTGTAAGTCAAACAAAATATATACAGGACCACCTTTGGACATACTGGGTTAAATAAAACATGTCAAAAATAACTTCACATGTTTCTTTTTACTTTTTTAATGTGGCTACTACATAAATTTAAATTGCGTATGTGGCTCACATTACATTTCTATTGGACGGCACTGGCCTAGCCTTTCTAAGATTAGTCAGAGCGAGGCTGGGAATGATATATGCTTAGAACAGAGCATGCTGGGAGCAACGGAGCGCTTAAAACAAGAAGTGCTGGAAGGAAGCCCTCCGGGGGAGACGAGGCCATGCAGAGCACGTTGGAAATGACTCGTGCTAAGAGCTGGACACGAAGAGAACTCCCGTAGGTAACCTGAGCAGACGGCGGCAAGAAGTGACCACACCCTCAGAGCAGTGCATGCCGGGAGCAGCAGGACCTCCGAGCTCCCGGAAGGGGAGCAGAGGCTGGCTAGAGGGGGCAGGCAGGAGGCTGGTACCTGTCCTTGCCCGTCTCACCCCGGAAGAGGTCGTCAAACTGGCGCATGCGGCCGGGAGAGACGGCGTAGGCCTCCAAGTTGGGGAATAACAGGCCTGTCTGCTGGATGACACGCACATGGCTGCCCTGGGGTTTCTGCATCTTGTCTGGGGGGCCCCAGAAGATGAACACCACCTCGGGAGTGCGGTTGATGAACTCTTGGGGCTTCCGCAGCACACGGAACACACTGGAATGGGCCACCACGCGGAAGGTGGTCTTGTTGCCCACATCTGCTGAGTAGCCCGTGGTGGGCGCGTCATTCATGCGGATGGTGCACTCGGCCTGTTCAATCTCAGGTCCCAGCTTGGTGCCCAGCAGGTGGCTGGAGCTGGTGACTATCACACACTGGTGGCACCGGGAGGGCAGCGTCTGGGGAGGGCAAGGGGAGTCAACACTGTCACGACCACTCCATGCCAGGACCTGTGCTTTGTACATCCAGGCCTCCTGGAGACCAGAATTATTATGCCCATTTTAAAGGAAGAAACCAAAGCCCACTCACTCAGTACTTTAAGATATTTATAGCAAGCTAGCTAATGGCCAAGTACTCCGACAGAGCAATGAGCAAAAGAAACCCCACTCCTGCCTTCAGATACTCATGGCTGGGGAGACAGACAGCAAACAAGTAAAAGATAAAATAATAGCAGGTGGTAAGTAAAGTGTGCTAGGAAGAAAGTAAAATAGGGACAGGGGATCAAGAGTGACAGGAGCGGTGGCTGTTTTTGCATTGTCAGGTACCCCTATGTCCTCCCAAACCTTGTGTGGACTCCCTAGCAGAGAAATATCGGTGAAAAACAGAGACACCTTTCCGAAGGGATTTTGACTGAGGACATAGTAGGATTTTAGTGCCAAGGATGGGAACATGGAGAGAAATGAGGCCCAGAGAGGGCAGGGCTCTTGTCTAAGGTCACACAGCAAACAAGGGACCGAAGGCACTGGAAGCCAGGGCCTTGACTCCCAGGGTCCACCCTCTCCTTTAGGAGGGATGGAGGGAATGGAGAGAAGAAGAGGAGGAGGGACCCGTGATGGTGGGCCGTGGGGAGATCAGCCACCAGGCAGCTCCCAGGGAGCTCCCCAAAGCGGCTGCCCTACCTTGTTGCCGAGAATGGGAACATAGCCATCGGTCATGCTCCACTTCCTGAGGTTGAAGGGCCGGCGGCTGTGGACCCGCAGGGAGCCATAATGGAAGACCTCATTGGCACTGTTGGAGCTGTAGAGGATGAGGATGGTGATGAGAGCAAAGAGGATCACGAATACTGCTGACCGCTGCTCCTGGAGAAAGGAGAGGCCAGTGAGGGCTCAGCGACCTGGCAGGCTCGGCGCCCCGCCTCCTTGCTGTCTCCATGCCCAGCTAACTCCTGCTCCTCATTCCAGACCAGTTCAGACACTACCTCCTTTAGGAAGGCCTCCTCCAGCCCTGAGGACCCCCATCACAGCACTGATCACATTACCATGAGCTCTGAGGCTGGGACTGGGTCAGCCTTGCTCCCCACCGTATCTCAGCCCTCAGGGCAAGGCCTGGAGTACAGAACGTCCTCAGGAGGAGGGTATGCTGGATTGGACTGGATGTGGGTATCAGAAGGATCCCTCCAGCTGCAGCTGGAAGGATGCTTGGAGACAGGCAGGACAGTCCAATGAGAGGATTCAGGTCTTCTCCAAACAGCACTCTCCGTAAATCTTCATTTATCTAAACCTGGAGGGGATGGACCTGGTCAGGAATCGGGCTGCATAGATAGTGCACCGCCATGTGGCTGACAGGGCAGGAAAGTGATATCCAAAGTGCCCGCAAGGATTCATTTGCCCAGGGTCTGCAAGGTGAGGTGAGACCTGGGAGCCCTGGCTCCTTGTGCTGAGGCCCCTGTGCTGATTATCGATGTATTGCTTCTCAGCTCCAAATTCACCCTTTTCGCCAGCTCTGTGAAAATAGATCTGGGCCCTTTGCTTGTTTTTCCATGCAAGCTAACTGCATGTTAAGGTTTCTCAGTAGAGGGCGCTTGAGAGACACTGCAAGAGGAAAAGATTTTGCTTCCAGGATCTAGTGGGCTTTGTACCTGCTTCTGGGGCACTTGCTCCCACAGTGCACATGGTGGCTTCTCAGGCATGTGCTCTGTCTCCAGTGCCCAATGGCCAGCAACCAGTTGCACTCGGCAGCTGCCTCCAGCACCCACCCTTAGGCAGTTTGGGCTCCTGCTGTGATCACAGCTTCTCCAGAGTTCAGCTCATGCAGTACACTCAACCACCTGAACACCCAGAGACCACCAGCTTCCCCTCCCTGGAGCAGTTCTGTATGGAGCTTGGGTGCCTCTCAGAAGTTATCTCCTGCGAATGACCTCTCATGTAGTAGCCTACGAGGTGGATTTATAACAATTTCCACTAGCACAGTGAGTTCTCTGACATCCAGTGGGCCATAGCTCTGCCCTCTCCATAAAGGCGTGGATCTCAGCCCAGGGGGCGGTGGCTGCTCCTAATACCTGCTATTCCTGGATTCCTTAAAGTTCCAATTCCTTGTTACACCAATGCCCGATTATAGTTAATAACTATCCATTAACCCATTTCCTATTTGCCCCGAGAATACTCGCTGGCAGTGCTGACAGCTGCAGCGTTGACCCCAAGGTAACTTGTGGATTACAGTCCTAACCTTACCCCCAAGGTTCGCCACAAAATATCTCACTATCATTTTCGCATCCCTCTAATATATCAATAGTCTTTGGAAACGAATGACATCGTCCTATTTGTAGCACCATGTTTTTAGTATTGGTATTTCCATTTACAAAATAGAGTGATTCTTGATTGCTGAAAATGTCAAACCTTAGAAAACACAGCATTTCTACATGTGATGTTAAATTAACACTGACAGCGAGCAGCACTTTTTTTCTCTAAACAGGAAATGGGTTAAACTTCCCCTATTCAACTTACTGTGTGGTTTCTCTCTGCCATTTGGACCCAGAAGGATACACCCACAGCACCCTGCCCCCAACCCTCAGATTCTGCCAAAGCTATGGTACAGTGGATCCTAGGAAAGGGGTGTGCAGGGCCAGGCACATAGTAGGTGCTCAGGAAAGCATGAATGACTGGATGATGGGGAATCCTGACACTCTCAGAGTGATGCTCACAATACTCCCTCATCTTTGGCTGACCCCCTCCCCCCCAGTCCCCCATTCACCTCTACCTCCCCAACCCCACCCCCTACACAGCACTCCAAGTCACCTTCTCAGATGATCCTTTACTACAAATGGCCCGGTCAAGCCTAAGAAGGACAGAGGTAGACCTGGACCCAAAGAAAGAGGCAGAACTTTGTCCAAAGCCATATAGATGAATGGCCACAGCAGGGCTCAAATCAGGACTTCACAGGTATCAGCCACTTCTTGGCAAGGAAGAGACCTGTGATGGTTTGGGTCTGAGACAGGTCCGAAGGAGCCCATCTCACCGAGGAAAGTAAGAAGCTGAGATGAGGACAAGAAATGAAGGGGGACTTACTTTGTTGCTACTCATCTCTCTCCAGCATCTGCTGAGGGGCAGGGGCCAGCGTCCTGCAGGTGGCCCGGGGGGCAGGGATGTCGGTTCACGCCTGCAAGCCACAGAAAGGGTTATGGCCAGCTGCCCTCCCCTAGGTCCAGCTGGTCAAAGGCTACACCGTCCCCACCCCTGCCGGCTCTCCTACCCACCCATTATTACTTCAAGGCTCAGGATCATATCCATTTTGCAGATGGAGACAGGCCCAGAAAGGGCAAAAAACTGCCTGAGGTCACACAGCCAGGTGGTGACAGAACCCTGGCTCTCTTCCTGACCCTTGCTCTCTCCCCCTCTGTTTCCACAGCAGGGGCCTTCCCACACCCTGGCTCTCCTAGGCAGCCAGCACCCCTCAGAACGAAGGAACAGTCCCCAAACCCCTCTGCACCTGCACGCTTCCAGGGCTTGCATAAACTGTCTGCAACACCCTGACCTCCTGCACCCCACTCACATCCACTCATCCTGCAAGCCTGCACCCCACAGGAAGTTCCCCTGTGTGTCACCTTGCTAAGCAAGGCTGAGAGCTCCCTGAGGGTGCAGCCAACTCAAATTCTCTACTGTGCCTCCAGAGCCCCTGGAGGTGGTGCAAGAGGATCACTGAATGACTTCATTAATCAACGAGTAAGATCTTGGAGGTTAAGGGCTCAGACTCATCTGTCAGATGGCCATAATCACAGCACCCCTCCCCCCCGCCCCAGGGTGGGTGGGGGACCTCAGGGGACAATGCAGCCTTGGGCAGCCCTTCCTTCCTGCCCCAGCCCCAGTGGCCTCCGCTGTGAGAAGACAAGGCCAGATCTGCTCCTCACTCCCCAACCAGCCCCTATCCTCACAGGACCCAGCTCCTCTCCATATCTCAATATTCCCGCCTGTCAAAAGCAAATAAGAACTGTTGTCCAGCCACCTCCAGCAGATTCAAGCCCAGAGGGCACTAAGATTGGGCAAGTGCAGAGGCAGAAACTGGGGCCGGGGCTCCCCAGCTCTGCCCTCCCCTCCAGGGGCCTCACAGCTCCCGCCACTATCTCCACCCCCTGACCTAGCTGCTGTTTACTCGACACTGCCACCAGGAATAGCCGGAGAACCTCAGGCCAAGAGGCTCCTCACCACACGCCTCTCCTTATTGGTTAGGTCCTGACTCCGCCCACTGCCCAACCCCACCCCGTCCCCGGAGGAGGCCCTCCATCTGCCTTCCCAGCCGGGTTTCAGGTTTCGCCCAGGCCATCCTTCACAGCTAGTCAGGGAGACCCCGGGATTCTCACTGGGTACAGATCAGGAAACTGAAGCTCATCAGAAGGGAAGAGTGGCCCCTCCTTGCACTCACAGCCCATCAGGGCAAAAGCCAGGAGTCCAGAATCCCAGGGTCACCCCTGTCAGCCCTGAAGCCTCTGACTTTCCAGGCCCTCACCCGTCCAGCTGAGCCGAGGCTCCCAACTCACCATTTCCTTCCATGCCCCTTGCTCCAGACACACTAGAGCACTCCAGGTACCAGGCCGAACCTCCACCCCCCCCAAACCCTCCCTCACCCCTGCCACTTTCCCACCTTTGCCTGAGCAGTGCCCTCAGCCAGGACCACCAACCATCAGCCCCCTTCACGATGCTGCTCTTGAGAATGCCATGGTCAGTACAACACCTTAGGTTCAAGTGCAAATGCCAGGTCCACCACTTACTGGCTGAGGGGCCTCGGGCAAGCCATGTGACCTCTCTGAGCCTCAGTTTCCTCATCCGTGAAATGGGAGTAATAAGAATAGGCAACTCACAGAGTTGTTCAAGGCCCGCCTCACCGAGTTTGCCAGGGAAACACACTCCTTCCTCTGACCCCTCGCCCAGCTACTAATCTCTCATTTCAGGAGTGTGTGCGGTAGCCATGCTAAGCATCACCCACTCACTCAATCTTCCCGGCAACAATGCATGGTAGGGTCTCTTACTCCCCATTTCACAGATGAGGAGACTGAGGTTCAGAGAAGCAAAGTGCCCTGCAGGGCTGTCCAGAGCCTGCTGGGGAGACTTGTTTGCCGGGAGCAGCAAAGGGCTGAGGCTGATGGAATCTCCCTCGAGGATCTCCCAGGACTGGAATGAGCCAGAGGCCACCGAGTGTGTGCCCAGCACCTAGCCCGGCACGGAGGAGGGGGTGGGGGGCAAGCCCGTTAGGCAACAGCTGGCTCAGGCTGGGGAGATGGCAGCCCAGAGCGCTGGGCGGGGAGCGTGGACTCCGCCTCATGGCAGCAGTGCAGGAGGGCTGGGTCCCTGGGATAACCGTGTGGGCCACACCCTGCCCTGTTAGGGGGTCTTTGCCTCTCCCAGCCCCGGAAGCCCTCCTGCAGGGTCGGGATGCCCCCACGAGTCGCGCGGGATGAAGGGGGAGGGGGCATCTAACTCCGGGATGGGGGCCTTCGAGCCCGTGGGTCCACCTGGGGTGGAGGGCGATTCACCCTCCGCGCCAACCCCCTTTGCGCTGACCCCAACTCCGGCACTCCGGGGGATCCGGAGCCCTAACCCCAGCTTGGAAGAGAAGGGAAGCAGGACGGCGGCAGGCTCTCCGAGTTCCAATGGGGTAATCAGCTACAGGAGGCCCCGCAAACCCCGCGACGGCCCTTGGGCGCAAAGACCGGGGTCTCCGGGCGCAGTTGGCTAGACAGTGAGTCTAGGGTAGCCCCCAGAGCCCCCGCATCATCACTCCCCATCCCCCAGGGGCGCAGGGAGCACCCTCTCCCTCTTCCCGCCCCCGCGTGGCACCAGCTCACCTCCCCCGGGGAGCGCCCGGCCCCCCGCGGCCCCCGAGTCCCCTCACATGGCGCTAGGATCCGGGAGCTGGGGTCCGCGCTCCTCTGGCCGCCCAGGCCCCATCGCAGCCCGGGCCCGCTGGGTCCTAGCGCCGCCCCTCGAAGCACCAGACCAGGCCAGGGAGGCGGGCGGAGCCTCGAGGGGCCCCGGCTGGCTCCGCCTCTGGGCGGTGCCTGGGAGAAGCGGGGGCGGGGAGGCGACTCCGCGGGCCACGTGAGCGCTTCGCAGTAGTGACAACGAAAATAACCTTCTGGAACCCTTTCCTGTGGGCTCACTTCCGTCTCGCTTTATTGGCTCCGGTTTGGGGAAACTGAGTCTCAAAGCACATGGCGCTTGGAATCAGTTGAGTTGCTGAGTTCCCTTAGGCAGGGCATCCAAAGCCCTGCACCCCAGTAGTCACCCTGGGTGAACTCAGGTTCAACCTTGGGTTCAAGTCCAGCTCTGCACCCTCTAGCTGTACCGCCTGGCACATGACTTACCTTTCCCCTGCACGCCTCTAGAAAATAAGGAGAACAACCTCATAGGGTGTTGTAAGGATTAAAAATGTTACTGACTTTTAATTTTCAGGGTATTTATTATATCACTTTATATAATAGTGAAAATAATAAGTAGCCATGATAGGTGCCTGGTGAAATAAAGGCACAGCCCTGCTAAAATGAATGCTGTAGGTCAATATGTGTTGACAGACGGGATGGCCAGGATACTTACAGGATGTTCAAATGAAGAAGCACATTAAAGAACTGCATCTCTATAATTCCTTTGGAAAACAAAGATGTAAAAATGTGCATTCCTCTCCTGGGTATGTACCCTGGAGAAATTCTTACACCTGTATAAAATGGAGCTCGATAACACTAAACTGGAAACAGCCCCATATATCTATCAACGGGAGAATGGACTTTTTTTGCATGATGGCACATTCGCAGTGTGAAATATTAAATGGCAGGGGAAAATGAATGAGCTACGATTAAATGGATGAAACTTAGGGACATAAGGTATGAAAAAGACGAGTCTCGGAAGACAAATGAACTACACAATATATTATTAAGGTATACAGCAGGCAGTAGGCCACCTCTCAGAGCCAGGGACAGGAACTAGCTTTTGCCTATCAGGGTGATTAAAGTTTTCAAAGCTAAAGTCAAGAATACAGTTGTCTATGGGTGAGGCAGGGATGTGGGAGAGGGGAAGAAACTAGTAAGGGTCTAATTTCTAGTAAGGATCTGGTCTTTAAGTGGGACATGGGTTCAAGGTGTACATTATATTATTACTTATAACTTACAAGTATGATGAATGCCATCATTTGTGTGTATAACAGTATTTAAAAAGAAAAATGAGAGAAAAAGGGAAAAATCAAAAATAAGGAGAGATACCACTTAGGTATCATAGTGTTAATAGTGGTTATTTCTGGAATGATGAGATTATGGGTTGCTTTTTCTTCTTTTGACTTAACTGTATTTTCAAAAATTTAAGATTGCAGTTATATAATGTTTTTATATTTAAAAGCTTATTTTTAATTCATCAAAAATGAACTGCGTATATAGCATGAGTCCTTTCTTTAAATACTGCTATCGATGTGTTTGTAAATGCACATGGAAGGTGTCTGGAAGAATCCAGGAGTGACTACTGGAAACTACTCAGTAGTTTCCCCTGGGGAGCGGACATGAAGCAGGAGGGGTGGGTGCTACCTTCACTTTTGCTTTATAAACTTCCAGGTTATTTGTATCAGACTAATTTGTTAAGTTAATACCACTTTGTTTTTAATTAAAGCAAAAGTGGGGGTTGGTTGGGGCAAGGCCGAGGGTGGATGAAAGGCTTCCTGCCTTTCTGGTGTGTACCTCCATCTACTTCCTGAACTTCAGCCCATCCCCACCCTTGGCCCTCCTTGGCTGCCTGACGGGATAGCAAACCACAGAGCCGGGGCCAGGGCAGTCAGGCAGGAAGGCCGATGAACCCAACTGCTGGGGGCTCGGAAAAGGGGAGCTCCTTGCCCTAGGTCATCCATGAGGTTGGAGGCTGCACCAGGGTAGGGCATCCTGTCCCCAGCCCTTCTCCCTATCCCAGGCCAATGACCTGTACAAATAAGAGGGTGCAACAGCCTAGTTCCTGGACCAAATCCGGACCCGGAGCTCCCCACTCAGGTCCGCCATGTCTTGGGGCCCTGGCTTGCCTCAGGAGGCTCTGCTATAGGGCTGGCTTTCCTGAGCCCTGAGCAATAGAGTGAAAAAATAAATGAAGTCAATTCAGTCAAGTTGCTAAATTACTAAAATCAAGTTGAGGTATATGAGGAAATGATTCTATTCTTATTTCACTGGGAACTTAAATTTTTGAACTTTACAGTCCTGAATCAATGCCCAGATTGACATCAAACCTCCACGTAACACTCTGATTAACTAAGGAAAAGATGTTCAAGTATCCAGACCACCTGACATCCAGCATCAAGACCACCATCTAGAGGATTACAACGTGGCACCAATCCAGCGACCAAGAACGCAGGGCTGATTCTTCTTTAAAAGTACTTTTCTACTATAAGAACCCTCAGCTTTTCCTTCTTGTTTAGAGCACTCTGGGTCTTGCCTAATTGCCTTTCCAGTTTGCAAGCCCTAAAACCCTGGAATAAATCTTTATCACTTATTTCTAGCCGAAGCCTCCAGACTCTTTTTGAGTTTGTTCAACAGCCCCGAGAAGGATAACAACCACTTCGGTAATAACGAGGATAAGAAAAACAAGTGTCACGTGCTTTCTCTTGTGATAGGCACTTTGCAAACATACCTCACTGAAGCCTTAAAATAGCCTATGAGATGGGTACGACTGTTATCCCCACTTTCTAGAGGGAGAAATGAGGATCAAAGCGTACACACACACACACACACACACACAGGCGCCCAAGCTGGGCTTCCCCCAGGCCCGTCTGCTGAATAATCACAGGCCTTTCTGCTCTGAAGCCCCAGGCCTGCCCACACTCACAGCAGGACTTTCACGGTTGGGTGGCTGTGGCCATTCCTAGTGCCACACTGCCTGATCCTGCCTCACGGAGCCGCTCCCCCACGGTCTGGGGGAGATGGCCTCTGCTTCAGCCCTTCCTGCCCCAGGGTGGGGGTCCCAGGTGTGACCTCTCTTCTTGCACCTTAGCAATCTTTGCACTGTTAGGATTTTCCCCTTCCACAGCGTTCTGGAAAGAATCCTCAGAGACCTCCTCACCTGCCACCCCAGCTCCCAATTTACAAAGACTGAAAACAGGGCCCATAAAGGGGACACAACTTGCCCATGATACCGTACACTGGGCCCTGGCCAGGGCCAGGGTGGGAGCCAAGACTGGGGACTCTGGCCTTCTTCCCTCTGGATAGATAAGGAACCAGATGGATGGCCCTCTGAAGAGAGGCCAGTGAGGGCTACTAGCAGGGGAGGGCTGCCAGCAGATGAGGGCCTGTACACAGCAGCTGCTCCGTTAAGCAAGTGCTCTCGAGACCTGGCCATGGGTCTGGAACCAGGAAGTACCTGGTTCTTCACAGACCGAGGCTGGAGCAGTCAGGCTGGCCCAAGTGACACTGGACACAGGTGTCTACCAGTACTCGGCAGAACCCATGTTCCCTTCCTCACCTGGCTAGATGAGATTTGAGTGTGAGTTCCTGGCTTGGCCCCAAGCTCCTCGGAGTGGAAATGTCCCTGAAGATAGCTCCAGGCTGCAAGGCTCACCTGGCTGCCCCTGTGGCCTCAGCAAGAAGTGGGTAAGTCCCCAGCAGACCAGCTGAAGGGACAAAGGAGTCAGGGTGTAGACAAAGTCCCAAAATGGGGCTGCACGCCAAGGTGCCCCGACCCTGCCGCCACACTCCTGAGCTAAGAGTAGGCTCCTGCCCCCAACTCACCTTCTAGAAGCTGCAAGAACTGCAGTGGCGGAGATAGGGGTCCTCAGGGAGCTTTCAGCAGGTCTAGAACCAGTCACCAGACCAGGCAAATGCCATCTTCATCTGCCTGAAGGAAGTACCTGGTGGATGGCTCCTGCCAGGTCACCATCACTTGGGCCAATTCAGCAGTAAACACTCCCCACCCGGGGGCAGGGCCAGGACAGAAACACCTCTGTTGATTGGGCCCAAAGGCTGGGCTGGCGTCTTCCAGGAGATGAAGGAAGAGAAAGCAACCGCCTGGGAGGGGGTTGAGTTCAATTCCTATCACATCCAGTGGACTCGGGCCTTGGAGTCCTAGGATGAGGCTGTGAGCACAGAGCTGATAGGGATGGGAGGTCTTCCTGCCCATCCATCACCACCAAAGAGGGTGGGGCTAGGTGAGCAAAGGCGACCCCATTGAAAATGATGGCTCCCACGTATCAAGTGCCAGCCCTGGGGACAGGTACTTTATAGATGCCATCTCTCTAAATGCATATAATCCTGTGAAGTAGGGGTGATTTTAATCTCTTTTTTTTTTTTTACAGATTAAACTTAGAGGCTCAGAGAGAGGCACTAATTTGCCAGGGTCCCATAGCAGGAAGTAGAAGCAGAATGAGGCCTGGTCTGACTCCAGAGGCCTCCCTCTGCAACCAGAAGTTACCCCACCAGCCACTCACCTGCCAAGTTATATCCCACTCTTCTGCCTGACACCTGCTCAGAGACACTCGCCACTGCCAGGCCAGCAGCCGTGGTTCGGCTGTCAGCCTGCTCTCTCCCACCACGGAGCTTCCTGCCTCCCCCGGCTCACGGCTCACGGCTCTCCTCCCTCTTCACACACTTGCTGAGCTTCCTGAGCCTGCCTGGCATGGGGTAGGGGAGGCACAGCATAAAAGGCAGCGCCGTGGGCCAGATGCCAGGTCTCCAGTCTCTCTTGAGGACATCCAGACTCCTTGGCACGACCAGCTATAAAATTTGTGGGGTCTAGAGCACAATGAAAATGTGCAGCCCTTGTGGGGGGCGGGAACTCCTCAAATTTCCAGGTAGTATCAAGAACATTAAGCTAGGCAAGCACAGGGCCCAGGGCAACTGCACAGGTCACACGCCCATGAAGTGGCTGACTCCTGGAGCTGGACGCTAGAACCCAGAGCTCCATTCCAGCTGAGAGCCTGAGGTCCTGCGCCCTGGTCCTCCACTAATCAGTTTCCTGGTCTCCAGATGAAGGAAGGTGGGAGAGAGGAAGAGAGGGATGGTGAAGCCCTTGTGGGCTCTTTCCAGCCTCTTGGTTCAGGGCCCAGACGCTCAAGCTCAGCTCTCAGACCCGGGACTGCATCCTGGCTAAGCCCAGTGGCTTCGCCTCATCCGTAAAACAGGCTAAGACGAGCCCCTCCCAGGGCGCCTGCATGCCCTTGCCGTTTGCTGGTGGGCTGACCTTTTCCACTTTATAGGTGAGGCAACTGAAGCGCAGAAAAGGTGCGCCCCGGGCCCGCCCACCTCCTCCCATCCTCACTTTCTTGCAATGTAACCAACTCGAGTTAATTGGGAATTTAACTGGCAACAGCCTTGGAATGTGACCTTGGACCAGGGAGGAGACGTGAAGTGGAGAGATTTTCTTCGCACCCCAAGTGGTTTCCTCCCAGGCTCCGAACTCTCCTCCCAGTGCCCCTTGGGTGCAGGGTGGGGGTCCCATGGAGTCTCTGAGTTGGGGCACGTCCTGGGCCAAGTGGAGCTATGGGGCCAGACTCTCTGACCTGGTGGGGAAGGGGCTCTTAGGGAAGAAACGCACAGGCAGATTAGATGGCGAGAAGCCCAGCCAGTCGTGGGTCTGGGGAGAAGCCCCGGGGTTTGGCCTGCCCTCAACCCAACGGGTTATGCGACTGTGGTAGGGAGAGGAGCCCCAGTCCCCACAGCACACAAAGCCACACTGGAGGCAGCCTTCCAGAAAACGCACGTTTACCCGTACATTTGAGGTGATCCCGGCATCATAGTCCAAAGGTCCCTTCGCCCAGTGAACCCCAAGTTCCTGGGAAGTGTGGCACCAAAAGTGGGAGTGTAGAGAGGAAGGGCCAAGGCTGGTGAAAAGGTCACAAAGCTGGTGAGTGGAGGGCCATCAGCCCTGGGGGCAAAGGCCACTGGACAAACCCTGGAGGTGGGATGGACGCCAAAATGAAGATTCAGATGACTCGGGGGGCGAGGGGAAGGAGGAGGGGACAGAGGTCACCATGGCCCCCCTCTTCTTCCCTTCAGGTCTGGAGGCCTGAGATGGCTCCAAGTGCCTCCAGGAGACTCTAGGTCCATCTGGCACGTGGTAGAGGCAGGAACCATAAATTAAATGTTTTTGGTGGAGTGTGAATGGAACGGAGGCCTGGGGAAGGCATTGCGGCTGGCTGGGCAACGGGGCTACTGTCCCCTCCAGGACGGGTGGGCAAACACGATGGGTCTCTTCTTGGCCCAGCGGGAGAACACGGCCTTCTCGGTGATGAAGCGGTGGGCGCTGCGGGGCGCCCGTTCGTGTGCCAGGTACATCTGGCACTCGTCCAGCCGGCCCTTCTCGAAGTAGTGGTAAGGCACTGAGGGGTGGCTCTTCTCCCTGCAGAGTCGGGAACAGGGAAAGGCGTGGGGCACCAGAACTCGCCCGCCTCTGACCAGAGCCTCCACCTACCTCAGCCACCCTCCCCAGGGACTACGGGCCCATGGTGTCCCATGCCTGATCCCAGGGGAGGTCAAGAGAAACAGGGGAGGAGCACGGCAGCTTACGTGCGGATCCCAAAGGCCAGCGCTCGAGTCCCAGCTCTGTCCCTTGCAAGCTGGTCGACTCTAGGCCAGAGACGTACCCCGTAAACCTCAATAACCCATCTGTAAAATGGGAATCGTGATAGCCACCTTCCAGACTGAATCCATAGGTCAAAAAGATGAAGTGCCTTGCTGGTGCTGGGCTCATGGGAGGGACCCCTAATGCCCCGTGGCACACACCCACCTACGCACGGTGCACGCCGGCAGCCTGGCCAGGTGCCACAGCAGAGGGCACACAGGCTCCTGCCATCTCGCCCACATGCTCAACAAACAAGTTCCAAAGAGAACAGAGGGAGAAAACATGGGGCCCGTTCTGAACTTTTTAGTTACAATAATATGGAAACCTAATTTTAAAAGTAAAAACTTAGAGATAATATGTCACTGACAATACAATCGGCCCCAACGCTGCAGTAAGTACTTCTGTAGATTACCCCCTCTCTAAATGTGTCCATAACCTTCTGAGGAAATGGAGCCTCGATAAAGTGTGTGACCAACCGCATGTCACAAAGAGTGGAGATTGGCACTGAGCCTGTCTTAGAGGCTGAGCCCCTTCCCTCGAGTGCCTGGCCTCAGCCACCCACCCAGAAGCCCACACACCCTGCACCCCACAGCGCCTAGATCCTCCGGCCTGAGGCGCACGGCCTCCCCAGCTCCCCTCCCACCCTGCCAGGGCCTGGCCGGCCTGACCTGCAGTAGTTGTCGCTGACCATTCCATAGACGACAATCTCCTCGCAAAGCTCCAGGGCAAGGATCATGGTGAACCAGCCGGTGCTGAGAAAGGACCCTGACTGCCTCCTGGAAGGGAGGGGAAACACAGTCAGCCTGTCGCGTCCCCGACTCAACTCAGAGCAAGGGGCGGTGTGGAGGCACTGGCCTCAGCTCTAGCAAGGCGCAGCACGGGTTACCCTTCCAGCTGAAGGCCACTCACCTTAACCCCTACAGAAGGGGCTCTGGAGGAGGCTGGGGAGGGGGCAGAGCCAGCACAAAGCCAGCAACAGGCCAGAGAGATGGAGCTGGACACAAACCTAGGTCTGTTCAATTCTTCGCCAGCCATGCACGGCTTGAGCAAACCTTTGGACAACGGTGCAGAGGCCCTGGCCACATCCTCTCTGCATCTAACGGACCACGCTTAGTTAGGGAGGTAGCGGGAGGCAGCAGGGCACGGCGGTTAAAAGTGAGAAAGGGGGTTGTCTGCAGGCAAACTGTCTTTAGTTCCAACCCTGCACCTGCTCTGAGGTATCAGATTTGCTCACGAACCTCTCTGAGCCTCAGTGACCCGACTGTGAAATGCGGATAATTATAGGTGGTTATAAGGAGGGAACACTGTTAGCCCAGCAGCACCCCCATGACTCCGCACCTAACTCAGAACAAGGGGCCGTGTGGCCACCCCAGGCCTCCACTCTCTCAAGGTACCAGCACTGGTCACTCTCTCAGCTCAGGGCCACTCGCCTCCACCTCTGCAGAGGCATTAATGAGGTGGTTCATTCGCTCAAACTGAGCACTTCCCAGGCCCTGTCCTGGCCAGGAACCGCCATACCCGACGCTGACATTCTCAAAAGAGGAAGCTGCTGGAAGAGAACAGTTGAGAACACAAGGTAACAAAGAAGTGAGTATGAAGAACATCAGGTGGGAGCGGATCATCAGATGGGGCAGAGAGGGAGGGCTTCTCTGAGGAGGTGACATTCCACCGACGCCTGAATGGCAGGAAGGGGTCAGACACGGAGAGATCTGGAGGAAGAACATTCTAGGAGGAGGGAATGACATGTGCAAAGGCATGCAGGTGAGAACCAGTGTGGATGTCTGAGGAAGTGAGTATGGCTGCAGCAGGGTGAATGACGGGAGACGAGGTCACAGAGGCAAGCAGGGGCCAGATTATACAAGGCTTGAAGGCCAGGGGAGGGAAGGACATGGAGTCTGTACTTTATTCTCCACGTGAAGTAAAGCTGCCGTGGAAGTGAAGCCAGGTGACTGATGGGTTGACTTCACTGGGACAGCTGGAGCTCAGACTGCAGGGGGCAAGGGTGGCAGCGGGGACACTAGCAAGGGGGTTGCTGCAAGGCCAGGGGAGGATGGTGGCACCTGTGGGCATGGAAGGAGATTCGAGGGCCCGTCGTATGTGGCAGATGATGGAATGAGGAGAGTTGGGGGCCAAGCCCAAGTTTTGGGCTGGAAAACTGGAGGCTGGCAGCTGTAGTTCCTGAGCTGGGGAGGTGGGGGAGAAGCCAGCGTGCGTGGAGGAGGCCGGGATACAGTGAGATTTTGAATGCAGAGTCGCGACCCAGTGCCTAGTGCATGAAGAGGGCTGTTAGTACTGTAACCGTTCCTTTTATATTCTGGGACTCCAGAGACCGATTCAGATCTCAGAGCATCCCCTCCACAGGGAAGGGCTCCCCAACACCACCCCACGCTATCAGTGCTTGCAAGGCCTAACGCCCCTCACCACCATTTGGGATCCTTGATCTATGCAATAATCTGATCAGTGACAGTCCCTTTGATTCCCGCTCCTCATTAGAGAGCAGGACCACACCTGCCTCCATCACTGCTGACCCCCCAGAGCCTCATGGAGCAAACCCCTGATGGACAATAAGCTCCTGGAGAAGGTAGGCCCCCCACCACCAGGGAGAACCCAGCAGGCAGGCCCCAGCTCACCGGTTTTTGCCGGTCTCGTCCTGGAAGACCTGGTCGCAGTAGGCCATCATGCGCTCGGTGAAGGTGTACACCTGCAGGCCCGGGTACACCTTGGTGAGCTGCAGCAGCGTGCGGTAGGTGCGGCCGCCGAGCGCCCGGTCCATGTGCTTCCCCTGGCCCCACACCACGTACAGGGTGTCTCGGGCCTGCTGGAAATAGTGTGAGTAGTTGCGTAGCAGCAGAGGCACAGTCGTGTGTGAGACGACACGCAGGGTGCTGCGCTGGCCCACGTCCGCTTCGAAGCCCACGGTGGGCGCCTGATTCATGCGCAGGACACACTCAGCACCGTCGATCTGGGGGCCCAGGCCCGAACCCAGCATCTGGCCAGAGCTGGACACCACAGCACAGCTGCGGCATGACTCGCGAACCAGCGGCTGCGGGCGGGGGAAGCAGAGAAAGAGAAAGGTGTAAACGCGCAGCTGCCATGCCCTGCCCCTCCCCCCAGGAACACTCGCTGACCCGGCTTGATTCCTGGATCAGCTCCAAGTACTTTATGAACCCATTTTACAGATGAGGAAACGGGCTGGGGCAGGCGGAGTGACTTTCTCAAGGTCATACCGACAGCAAGTGGCAGAGCTAAGACTTTACATTCAGAGCTCCACGCTACACCATCAGCTGTGTTCATGGCCCTTACCCCTACTGCTGAGCCCTCACGAGCCCTTCGTCATAGGTTCCTTATTAGGGTTCAATGAGCAAATATTTATAAAGCAGTGACAGCACTATCTGGCACAGGCTAGGCGTTGTATATGTGTAAAGTAAACATGAACCTCACAGCTTTGAAATCACTACCTCTTCTGCCCAAGCCTCACTCATGCTGTGTCCAGCTTAGAAAAATAAAAGCAGAGTCTTTAGTGCCCACAACAATGTTGGGAAACTGTTTCTGAGCCTGATCCTGGGTCTGCCCTTTCCTAGCTGCGTAGACTCAGGCAAGTCACTTTGTAAATTGGAGCTAAAAATAGCATCTACTTGATCAAGTTGAGAGGATTCAACTTAAAATGCCTGGAGAGTGATCCGCACAGACCAAGGCACAGTGGGGGCCCAACCCCCACTCATTAACCCCTAAGAGGTGGAAGCTGAGCCAACAACCCTGACGAAGGACTTGCTCCCCACCCCAGGCCTCTGTGTCCTCCTGGGGGAAGGTGCATTTATGGAGGCCTGGAAAGGCAGTGGGAATATTAATTCCAGTTAATACCAGACACACTGTCATGCCCCACTCAGGGGCATTTCATAACTAATATCACACTGATTTAAGGACTCATAGGACCAATAAAAGAGACTTCCTTCTCGTGCCCTCAGTTTGAGCCTGTCCTGACATCTGGGGTCTGCTCAGATCCAAGGCCACCACCAGCCCCAAGAAGTGTTCTGCTTGTCCTATAGTCTTTAAAACAGTTAATCAATCCCTAATTTATAAAAATCAGCCCTTTCGACATTCAAGACTTGGATTTCACGCTTCTCTTAACAAACCCAGCGGGTCTGGCCAGGCTGAGCCCACGTCCCCATGAGCTCTCAGTGTCTGAAATGAACACGGGCCACTGCTATAGAAGAAGGGACAGCGTCCACCCAGCTTGCACCATCGTTTGCCTCACCTGCTCCAACCTCTACAGCACTTGAGTTCGGGTTCTCTTCACTATTGTTTCTGCATCCTGATCAAATATTTACACAGTACCTGTCCTGAACACTGTCCGTGAATCATCCAGTCCAACCTACACAAAAGCCCTACAGAGGTAGGAACTACAACGACCACCTTTTACAGGTGAGGAGGTAACTTAGAGGGACAAAGACCCGAAATAGGTCTTCTGCAAGCCAGGGTCCCTGAGTACACCCTGCTCCGAAAAACACCCAGAGAGCCATCCAACTCAGAACTGGGAGATTCCTGCACCGTGTCAATGCGGATGCCTTTGAGTAACCTACCACGCAGGGCCACTGAAATCAGGGTGAGGGATATAAAGTGCTCCAAAACTCGCCTGGCAGAGCTGACATGGGGTGGGGGAAAAAAAACAGGAATGTACTGCCTCGTCACCCCAGGGCTCCAGCATCGCTGTCTCCCCATGACAGGGAGAGCTCAGGGTCAACATGACTTTTATCCCTGTTATCTCTCTCAGCAGCAACCAGCACAAGGCAAGAGATAGTCAAGGGACCAAATATACACTTGTTGAACGGATGGATTGTGTGTGTCAACAGATAAAGATGCACACAATGTGCCTACCACCATCTGGGATGACATCTGTCTTCCTCCTTGGAGTGGGAGCTCCGGGAGGCCAGCTACCCTGCCCGACTCACCTTTTTTACCTCCCAGCACCTAGGTGATAGCAGCCACGCAATATTTGTTTTTAAAAAAAAAATATTTCCTCTTACAACTCAAAGAGTGAAGTGACTGTTCCATGTCACACAGCTGGTGAGCAGAGGAGCCCGGACTGAGGTCCAGGCTGACCTGGCGTGAGCCCAGTTCTCACTACTCCTCAGAGAGTTTGGGGAGGGCACCCTGACAGCCTGGGCCTGCCCTCAACATGCTGCCTGGCTGACTCACCTTCCCATCTGGCACGCTGCTGTAACCACTAAAGTGCAGGGGCCCTGGCACGGTGGGCCTGGAGCTGGATGAGAGGTGGGGGTCTAGGCAGGCCAAGCAGAAGGGCAGGCAGCCCCAGCAGCACAGCAGGATGTAGGCAGTAGAGAAGCCCACGGAGCACAGAATGACGAGCAGGAGCCGACTCTGGGGAGACAGTGGCCATGAGATGAGGGTGGGGGATCCCTGAGGCTCCTAGAAACTTCTATAGGGGGGCTGCACCCCAGCCTCACGGGTCCAAACTCCAGCTCAGTAGCTCCTAGAACATGAGCAGAATCAAAGTCTCTGTTAACCGGGCCTTCTTCTGGACTGCCAATCTCAGGATACGAGAGGCCCCGGAGATAAGCCCTACTATTATCCCCTTATTGTGGGTAAGAAAACCAATTTGGGGAGAAGTGTATAACTCAAGGCCACACAGCAAGAACACAGCAGGGTGAGGCCCCCAGTCCAGGCTGTAGAGCCCATGCTCTTAACCAGAAGCCCAGTGCGCTGAGAGATACTGGGTGGGTCTCTCCGCCTCTCTGGGCCTGTTCCCTCCTCTACAGAATAGGGACCTGAAGTGTGGACTTACTGTGAGGATAGTGGTGAAGGTGCTCTGTGTACTGTAAAGTGCTGTGCACATGAGGACAGGAGAGAGCCCATCAGAAGGGCAACCAGCCCCCTTCAGACTCTGGACTGAAGAAGCTGCCAATATGACCGCCCCTCCCCGCCTCAGCTGACTCAGTGGCAGCCGCCGGGCTGATGACCACGATCCCGGTCAGCAGTCTAGGTGAGTAAAAAGGACAGTAGCAGCAGATGTGAGGGGAGTGTCATTCAAGAAATGGTTTCAATAACTGAAAGCTGCTGTCCAGAGACTCCAGAAGCCAGGTGCCAAAGGCCATTTGAACCAGGAAGCCCTGCTGGCCCACTGGCCCTGCTGGCAGACTTTGTGAATGTCTTCACCAAGCTTTCAAGGAGGGGCCGCCTAGTTTGCTGGGGCTCATGACCCGGGGCTGCCATCCTGTGCTGGGCCACCCTGGTCACCACTTGTGTGTCTCTGGGCTCTCATTTTTGCCTCAGCAACAACCAATCAGAAACCACCTAGCATCTGCCTGGTGCTCTTTGAAAACCAGAGGTGGAAAAGCAGCCCCCGCCATTCCCCCAGGCATATCTTGCCAGAGGCCAACTCTCTTCTGCCACAAACCACATCAGCTTCTAAAAATAGGTCTCCTTTGTGTGGCCAGCTGTGTGGGGGGAAGAAGTGCCGCCAGAGGCCTCAGGCTCTGCTTGGCACCTGGTGCCCTGAGCATGAGGGACCCAGAGACCTCGATTCAGGATGGTTGACTCTGCCAAGATCCAGGGCTCTCTCCCACAACCAGGGGCTCCTGAATAAGTTCAAGAGCAACTAAACTGAACTTTCACACCATGGCCCACTCCCAGGCAAAGTGCCTCACCTGAGTGACCTCAGTGAAGCTCGTGAAAGGGAGTACTGTTATTTCTAAGGCAGTAAAACCAGGGAAGGAACACTACCTGTCTGGGGCCCCACGACCTGCCAGATCCGAGCTGGACTGTGAGGCCAGTCTGCCCGTCTCAGATCAGAAACAGTGGTGTCAGAAGTGACAGTCGGTCCCAGGGTAGGCCAGGCTACTGAGGCTGCTACGCCGGAAGCCACCTCCAAGTCCCCTGCGAGTCTTCCTTTTTCCCACTTACCGGAGCCTTCATTCTGTCGCTGCAGCTCAGCAGCAGGGCGGCTGCTGTCTCCAGGGCTCAGGCTGGGACGGGCTGGGAGCCAGGCACCTGTCAAGACCCAGAAACTCAGAGCCCGGTCCTAGGCCTGAGAGGAAACTCCCCGGGGAAACTGAGGCAGCAAAGGGTACAGGTCGGGTCAAAGCAGATGGCTTCTGAAAATTAAATACCTCAACGTCCCTAAACACCAGGCTTCACTGTCCCCATCCTTAAGGAGCTGGAATCGGCCACCTATGGGAACCCTCCAGCCAACCCAAACCCCATTGTGCAGATGAGGAAGGAGAGGCAGACAGGGGGAGCTCTGGCTCAAGGTCATCACAGAGTCTGGGTGAGAGTGAACCAGGAGCCAGGAGCTCCACTCCCTCCCAACCTCCTGCCTCACTACCCGCGGGCCAGGGAGAGGCCTGGGGCGAGACAGGAGGAGGATTTCCGCCCCCCGCGCGGTTTCCACCTCCCCCCGCCCCCAGCAGGGCGCTAACCGGGTGGGCAGGTTGGGGCACGCCAGCTGCTCTCGATCCGCTGCCCGGAGCTCCATGGCCCGAGGGCCGGGTGAGCGGGACTGGAAGCGGGAGCTCCGAGTCAGAGGCGGCGCCAGAGCCGCAGCTTCTGGAGCATGGAAGCCAAATGTGC